ACTTGATTTGCTCTAATCTAGATCTGTTGGGAACAGGCTGATCTGTAGACATGAGTGTGTGTGTGTGTGTGTGTGTTTAATTTGTGTCGGTATAGATTTGGTTATCAGTGAGCGTCTGTCTGCGTGTGTCTGCTTCACCTCCAGCGGTCAGGGGCCGCAGGGTAATGAAGCGACGGGTCAGTCTGTAAATACACGCGGGTCGCTCTGGCCGCTGTGAGGAGTTGGCTATCGTGTTGCAGTGAAAATGGAAACGTCAATAAAATTAATCGGGCCACCTTCTGGCCTGGACAGCTCACTGTGGTCCCCTCATAACACAAAGACAAGTTTACACTCCCAAACATACATACACACACACACACACACACAAGGGTAGCTATCTTAATGGGGACTTCCCAATGACATTTCTACTGTACAGACTGTACAAACCCTCGAACTCCTGGAGGGCCGCAGCTCTGCACAGTTTAGGTACAACCCTATTTAAACACACTTGATCAGACTAATTCAATCATTTAGGGTTGTTTGAAGCCTACAGGTAAGTGTGTTGGAGCAGAGTTGGAACTTAACTTAGCTGCGGCGCTCCAGGAATTGAGTTTGACAGCCCTGCCCTAACAATAAGCATGTGTACATTTTTAAAACACTTAATTCTGTCTGATTTATGAGCCATTTTTTTTATCATGGGGACCAAACAGTCCACACATGATCAAAATTTACTGGTATTACTATACTTGTGGGGACGTTTGGTCCCCACAGTGTAAGGAATGCAAGGCACACAAAAACACACCTCACCTTTAGTGATGTCACCGGAGTGTGCAGAGCGTGCAGATTGAATGAGTATGGATTTTGTGCATTTGCCGAAAGTTCGAACCCCAACATGCCTTGTGTGCATCTGAGGTCACATCCACATCATTAGCAAGGATCCGCGTGGCGAGGCTAATAAAACAACAGCAGAGAAACGAAATAATAGATTCAAACAGAAGGCTTTCAACTGTCCTTGTACTCTTCATGTATTTTGCATTCCATTACGCCACCCATCGGATCTGTTCTCTTTCCTCCTCCTTCAAGTGATTAGCTGCAATATTAATGCGTGATTATTGCTTATATAGGTGCGTGTGATTGATGTCTCCCCAAAAACAGAGCGACGTGCGAGTGTAAATTTGTCGAATATTGCGGCGTGGTGCAGGAGTTTTTTCAGATACATAATTTAGATGCCCTGAAGGAAGGCTTTCAAGGCATTTTTGCCCAAGGCCAAGAAAAAATAACTGACTTTTAAAAGTAAATCATTTTTGCTAATGCACAATTAATGCCAGAGGAGAAAGTAAGTCTGGGAAGTAGGTTATGGAGAGACCTGATCTGCCCTCACACAGGCCCAAGACAGATGCTGATGGACATCGCTCACATATGCAAATGAAGCACCGTGCTAGGGTGTTTATGCAGCAGTTATCTGTGCTTATAGCATGCTAATCTAATCGCTTCTAGATTCACTGATCAAGATTTTATCCTGGTGTCTCTGTATTTGAGTGTGCAATGTCAAGGTTGTTTCTAAAAAGCTCTCCTTTTTGTCCAGGAGATGGTTTAGACAACAGCGTGGCCTCGCCTGGCACGGGTGACGACGATGATCCGGACAAGGATAAAAAGCGGCAGAAAAAACGCGGCATCTTCCCCAAGGTCGCCACCAACATCATGCGGGCATGGCTTTTCCAGCACCTCACAGTGAGTGTCTGTCTTCTTTTGTGTTAAACTTTGGGAATACAAGTGAGCTGCAAGTGCTGAGAACTTTTACTGAGACTCTGGTTGGATGTTGAGAGAGAGGCAACAGCACTGGGACTGCATTGTTTGTATTACAAATCTCTCTCTCTCTCATACGCGCGCGCGCGCACTAACACACACACACAAGCATTAAGCAGACACACAGGCGTTTGCTGCTATATCAACTCAAAGGGTTGTAATACCATGTATCAAGTACCAATGTAATACCAAAAGGTTTTATATAAAGGTAAATAAATACTGAGTTGCGCCAGCTCCGGGCCGCAGCGCACAATACTCTCGGGCCGATTCCGGCGCGGATGCGGCAGCGTCGGCTCGCGTACGGCCGCCGCATCTGGCCCGATTGATTCGGGCCGGAATCGGGCAGTGAGTCCACAAGCATCCGGAGTCCGGCAGCCGGAGCCGGGCTGAGTGGTAAGTCTCTGGCAGGCGAGAATCTAGCCGGAACTGGCCCGAGTGTATTTTGCTATCTGGAAATAAGCTCTCTCTCTCTCTCTCTCATTCACGCGCGCGCACTAACATACACACACACAAGCACCAAGCACACACACAGGCAAAGCTCTCTCTCTCTCTCTCTCATTCGCATAGCAATATCCACGACATTGCTAGACAGCCCGCTCCCGTCCCAAATTAAACCTGTTACCGACCGCTCCCGCGATTTATTCGGAAATTTATTCCCGCGCCGCAGAAATCAGGTCGGGTCCTGCGGCGCCCGCGGGACAGCCGCGGGAATGCAGACCTCTAGTTTAATCTTCACTGCTGAAAGTCCAAACACTGAAGGGTAAATCCATCAGTGCGCAGCTCCACAAACCAAGCAAGCCAGTGGAGACGGTGGAGGAGCAAACTTCACCAATCGACCAAAGTGAAAGAAAGAATCCAGGCTCAGTTGGGCACGACCGTTTCTCCTCTGGCCAAACTTCCCGTGCAGAGCTGCAGTCTAGACGCTGGAGATTTGTCAGTTGTATGTGCTCAGATATCAGTAGAGTGAAAGGGATCAGCTGTTGTCATACTGCATAGCAGCCATTTCCACTAGAAAGTGCAGTGAAACATGTGCAGAATGTTTCACAAAAATGTAGGCTGACGCACGTATTTCTGATTACCTGACAGTGACCGGCCACTCTGGGTTTCAGCATAGGTTGTTGTTGCACAAGCAGAGGGCTGTGAGTTTAGAGAGGTGGCGTGCAGGTTGTTTTCCATCGGCCTCTCTGATGTCACGACATCATCCGCGGCTCAGGATATATCGATCAGGACAGGAAGGGTCAGGTTTCAGAGGGAGGCACCGCCATCCCAGAGCGCATGAATGATTGTGTGCTCCACAAGAAACTGAGAACTGATATGTTTGTATTAGGGACATGCCCTGCAACCATGGATTCAATCCCTTAAACGGCTCTAGTGACGATGCTCAGGCCTTGAACGAGCCAAAATAATGAAGGCTAATTAAAAGGGCTGTAAATCCATTATAAAGTGCTGCAGGATAACCAGAGGCTCTGCACTCCAAGCGGTTATTACTGCCATCATGATCGGACCGGCTCCACTATTGCCCAGTTGACAGAGAGACAAATACGTTTTTCTTTATTCTCGCGCTCTTTTCATTCGTCGTCCCCATTCTCGTGCTCAGAACTGCTCGGCGCACTTGTGTGTAAAGCCGTGCGGAGGGAGGTGTCAACCACCCACCTCCTACCTTTACCCACAAATGCCTCTCGCTTCATTTACTCAGCTCCATATCACGCAGGAATGTCGCGCTTCTTTCAAAGATCATTAGGCGTCCTCACTGGCAGCTCAAGAGATCCCTATTCATGACGAGATGCACCGCTATTTCCTTTAGAATTACTTTAAACAATGTAAAAACCCAAGGAGAAATGTTCATTAGTCGAGTCTCGATCATCTTTAGGGATGTTTTTCTTTTGTGTGAGTGTGTGTGAGTGTGTGTGAGTGTGTGTGTGCAATAATCCAACCCACCTTTCTATTTTTTCAGTCCATTTCCAACCAAAGAGACTTAATTGAATTATCCCAAAGTACCAACCGCAGCCCCCCGCCCCCCCCC